TTATAAATGTTCAGAATGATTGTTGGCACTCTGACCATGTTCTTGTTAGGCATAATATAGAATCTGCAATCATATGTTGTTCTTAGACATTGATAAAACCGTAGTTTGAAGCTCATCGTATTGGTAATGATAGGCGCTGAGATTACTGTTTATGAACACATTGTTAGTGACAACAGTCTTCCTGAACTTCCCCGACCATCGCAAATTAACCAGCCTAGATTTCTAACCAAACATTTAATGTACAACGATAAATCAAAACTACCATGTTGTTATCAAAGTCAACGTAAGCATTCGTTGATTTAGAATAGAGATCACAGATATAATAATATTGCGACATTTATTTACTTTTTAAGAACACTCACATTTATTGGGCATGTATGTTAAATGTGTGTTTGTTATGAAATTAAATAAATTGAATATCATATCATGCCTCCCAACTGTATTTATTGAAAATTCAAGCATGATAGGGTCAATATCATAAGATAGTTAAGTGTGAATGAATTCTTTTTCAATAGTTTTATTTTTTAAAAACCGTCACGACTTATTAATTGTATAAAATCTACATGTGTTTAAATGTTTATGTTTTCTTTGTAAAGGCGGTGCTCGGGACGTAAAATGTACTCAGCATTACAATCAATAATCTGGTTTATTTTTAAGAACTGTCTGGTATTATATTCTATTCCTAATCGGCGTAAATCAAACCCGATTAGTATCTCCCCATGATGCATCCACTTTTATTTTTAAAATGTTTTTTTTTTAGAAAAATCATTATATGAAAACCATCGATTCTGAAATGCAACTGTGCTATTTTGTAAAGTAACCATATATTTATTTACACTTAAACTAACGCAAGCTGTCTGAAATTGCTAAATTATGAAAATTATTATTCATTGTCGTTTTTGTAATTGATATGAAATGACTGCATATGCCATGGTAAAATTGTGCCATGACAATAGTAAGAAAAATCCTCATTTCGGAATGGCCTTTTGTTATATTGCGAATAATTTGCACAAATTAAATATTAATTGTTAATTGATTTCATTCAATTTTTGTAGCGTTATTTTCATAGTTAAATACCTTTTTGCTTCTTTTGTAAATGGAATAGAAACTACATCATATAAATGATTTAGATGACAATTACATGACTTCTTGCCTACAGAAGCCCTTGGTATTTGGGTGCCATATGTAATAAGATTTTTTTCAAGTTTTTATTGTTAACCTTTGAACAATTAATTTTGATCATACATCTACTTTTAGGATTGATATGGCTGGAACGATGAACTTGCTACGTTTTGTAACATGTAACTGTTTCCGTTTCCTTTAATCTCAAAATGTTTCCTTTATTAAGAAATATTGATGTGAGATTTTCTTAAAACAATACATGACGCATGATTGCTCCCTTTTTATCCCTGCTGAATAAAACAGATAAAAATGTGCGAAAAGAGGAAACACTGAAAGTTTAATTTCGAGACAATAGTATGAGCACTCACGAGACAATAGCATGAACAAACATTCAAAAACAATGAAAGGTGTTCCATAAACAACAAGCACCTTTCAGCAACTCATTATAATCAGACTTTATTACGCATTTAGGCCACTCAGAATTACATCGTATTAATTAAGTAGAAAATCATGTAAATGAAGATCTTATCAGAGAAACCAACATAATGCAAGACTATTTCTAGACCGCATGACTTCTGCGAATGCTATAGACGTCGTGTTTATTATGTTCGATTTCCGTGATAGAACCAAAGCATTTTTGACGGCGTACCTTGTTCCATGATGTTCCAGAAATACTTCTTCATTAATTGCTAATTTACAAGACAACATGGCTTTCGTTAATGGAGTCCTATGTTCACTTGAAGCGTTTATGTTTTACACTTCTTGAGAATTAGAAGATATGACTTTATTTGGGAAAACATACAGGTAAATTACAATATTCAATTGGAAGTTACTTCCGCTGGGCAATTCTCGCTGAGTAATAGTGCGAAAAGTGAGGCAATCTATTTCCTTTGCGGGCAGGCGTTAATTGTCGTAGTCGATATAAAACATTTCTAGAAAAAACAAAATACATTTAGAAATTGGATGAGAATTCAACTCGGTACATCAACGGAGTGAAACAAACTTTAACGAGCATCCTAAAACTCGGCTATGGGATAGTTCAACATATGTCACCTCAATCCCTAAACAAATCCGTAACAGATAAAAGATTCTTTAGGAAGAAATATAAGTATTAAAACAGCATAGGGTATATTTTTGATTTTTTTTCTCATATCATGTGATGAATAGAGTGAAATTTTTGGTTTGTTACATTATATCAGCGAGATTTTTTACCCTAATGTGCATCAATGAACGGTCACATAGGACAACATAATTTTGAAACTGATATTCTCTTTGACTTTTAATTTTGGAAATTGAAATAATTTATACATACATTTCCATATATTATGGTCAAAGTCTTCAATTGAAAATTTACTTCAAATCCTTTAATATCAGAATATTTGATAGTTTTCAGCGCACTTGCCATATAACTTTTTTTAAGATCAAAGATCGAACAACCGTTATTGTTTTTTTTGTTTTGTTTTTTTTTGCATTTCATTGTAAGTATTTGTTAAATATACAAGTTTCACTCTACAAAAACTTCAAATCACAACAAAATATTCAATATTCAAAACTTAGAATCCTCAGTATTGCTCATTTTTATTCAAGAATATGTAACTTTAATTTTTAAAACCATAAAAAATATTTGCAAAAACATGTTGTATTTGATATTACTTACATTTGTGACTGCATCTTCGCTGTCAACAATGTACAACATAAACCGCCATACATGTACAGTGCATATATTAAATAACATACTATTAGTCATTTGTCATTTTTTTTTAATTTGAAGGCTAGAATATTTAGATACCATATCGTAAACTATTGATAAATTTACTAAAAGATTGAACAATAGCTTACGATATTTCACGGCTGTCTTGATACCGACATGAAGCTTGAGATACAAACATAAATCTTTTTTTCATATTTGAAACCTTGCATTTAAAATATTGTAATGCCATGTGGTCGTTTTCAGCGTTAAGGTTTTTTGTTGAAGCGATCCAATTAGGCGTCTGTACCTGTATGGAAGAAATGGGATAATTGATAATTTAATGTTTAATTTATTAATCAGTTTATAATCAGGTAATGAATTAATTTGTGATTAATTATTACTAAAATGAATTTTAATTATTTTCAAATTAGATACAATATTAATTCTTCAGAAAATTTAAATAATTTAGTCTTGAGATGAAAATGTGAATGATTTAACAGCAGTGATATTTTAATGTTTGCCTTTTCTCACATAAGGTTTGGTTATTTTGAAAGGGAAAATATTCTATTGGTGGATTGCCAGTTACTATAAGAGAAGAGCTTTTTATGCAAAGAATCACATCTTAGAGTCTATATAGCTTCTTCTCCTTCTGTAATGTTATACTTTTAAAGTCAATATCTGCTCTAGAAAAAGACATTAAAAAATAAGATTTAAAAAAGGAAGTCCTATTTCTGACACAAAATAACATTAACTTGATTGATCAATGCAAATGCGGTAAAACTATTTCTTAAGTTTAAGTTTCAATGAGAAATACTTAAGAATAAAACACTATACAGAGTATCTTTCCTTGTAATTGTCAGACAATCAAATGATTTAATACATTATATATCTATATATGTACAGAATGATTATATTTGGTAAAAAATATCTCACATCATGTTGAGTATCACGTTGGTCATCTTGTCGTACAAGTCAATTTTATATATTTGAATTTCATGGATATATAAAATGAAATTAGATTAAATTATATATAAATAAAATATACTCACGCAGTACATTTTTGGGGTTTTTTACGTACAGGATAGAAAAATAAAATAATTAGAATAAATTAGAAAAGGGCATAAGAAAAGGGCATTAGAATTCCTTGGTAATAAATTGTTGACCATAAATGTCAGGCAATTTTGGTCTTTGATAAAGAAAATCTGAACATACAGAAAGTAGTCTCATTAACTACAATTACAACATAAATGTTAAAATTGCTTTCCTTAGTACATAATTAAGGTTTCCTTATTTGTTTTCACAAAATCAAAAATGACGACAGTCAATTTACCCAAGTTATATGTTTAAGAGTGTTTCAGATACTTTCATGCCGTCAATAATGTCTTCAAACTAACTAGCTCCGAGATAAAATTCTTCAAGAAATGCACGAATCGGCATAAAGATTAATTACTTCTCAAATCAGTTAGACTCAAACCTTCGTTAAAACATCTGTCTTGGTCACAACGAGCGCTCTCATCGTTACTTTATTTTCATCGCGCACGATTTCTCCTAATTTGTTCTTGTTTACCAATCCTCGCTTTCGATATGCTTTAAAAATTCATGAGGTGAAATAAACCAGTGTAAATGATTTGTATTGTAACGGCTGCGAAGTTAATTTCCGATTCTAAATGAAAGCTGTATTGCGATTGGCTTAGGGCTATGATAGGGCGAGAACGTGCTCACGCGGAGCGTATCATGGCCACGCGCTCTTTTCCAGTTTCGGTAGAAATAATACCATGAAAACTTACTTTAAAACATTAAATACCCTGGATACATACGTAAGAAGTAACAGAAAATAATATTTTTTGCATGTTTTGAATTATTTTTAATCCGTGCAGATTCTGTTATTCATTTGACTATACCATGTAAGTAATTTATGTTTTTGCTATGTGTCATTAATTTGAAATATAATTTAAATACTTTATAATTTCTCAAATATGTAGATAACTAACGATTTAAAAATATTCTCATAACACTTAATCTTGGAGATAAAGTTATGGATAAGTAGATATTTACAGTATGAGATGCTGAATGAAATGGGTTGGAAAAGAGAAGATATTATCGTGAATTTAATTTATTTCATTAAATGCTATATGCACTTAAAATTTTCACTGCAAAATTAGAAAAACGATGATATATGTTTGGATAGTAAAATTTGTTGTCGTGATTATGACATTTTCATATGAATATATCTAGAGGTTTGAGGATTCATTTCATAAACGTAGCGTTCTTGTACTTGTATGAGTGCATTTAAAGAAAATATGACAAGGAAATTATTTTGCTTTTGATAGCATCGTTTTTGAACAGTTTTAAAGTGTGTTTTATGAAGAAGAAAAATATAATAAGCTAACAAATGTGGAAAATGTATGTAAGATGCAGACTCTTTGGTGCACTGATGGTGCACTGGTAGAATATGTGTTTATATACATGTATATCGATATTGCATGTAAGTTTGAAATTGTACATTGGCTTCTTGTATATCAATAATTTGCTTATAAGCTATCATTTCAATTTTACTATATTTGCAGAACTTTATAACATAGTACATTTTTTAAAATATTATCCCAAATATCACCATAGTGAGCTTTTTATACCTGTAGTTACTAATTTACAAATCAACACATATTAATATAATCATTTTTATATATTATTCCATTTTTCATATTGATTACGAGTATATTCAGTTCTTATAACTGTACTGTGATTTTATGTTTCAAATTATTTATAATAATGTTGCCACGAGCATAATTGAATTGATAAAATAACAATAGTAATTGTGACGTAAATATCAAACACTGCATTCAAATATTGTATTAATCCTAATAACAAAATGTATATTCCATAAGCACATTTTTTTTTACATTGTAATTTTGTTCACAATTTTCGATGTTTGATCAGATGATTAATTATATAGTAAATGTGTGTTAAATCTGAGAGTTAAAGATCGTAATTTTTTGGGATATATTTTATACAGCATGTTATCATCTTTCATTTAATCATAGAATATTTGATTTCCATCCAACATACTATTTTAAAGTCAAGTTCTTCCACATTAAATACGCCCTTCCCAGTATCACTGAGTCAAGTCGAAATAATATGAATTTGCGCAACACCTTTTTCCACCCACAAACCAGTAGGCTTTACAATAGTAAGTCATTCAAGGGTATGCCAAACTGAGTTTTTTAAACTAATGAATTAGCCTTATAGATCCTTTTTGATAATTGAAAAAAATACAACCATGGAAAGATATTAAAGAATAAGTGATGCAGTCTTTACTGATAGTTGCACATTACAATAATCAATATTAAAGTTATCGCAACAAATGTGCTTTCGAATGATTCAGACACAAATGTTTTTTGATATATCTTAATTCTCCAATGTTTAGGAAAATCACTAACGTCTTGCGTTTAGTCTCAAAGCAAACAGAGATTCAAATCAGCTCCCATCAAATGTTTTATTTTCCAACTTTAATTGCGGTTGTGGCTTCCAACGGAACAAGCTTCCGGTAATAATCTTCGGATGCGTGCACACTTCCGGTAGATCCCATTGTCTGCGTTTGCTGTTGCTTCAGAATTGTCTGCGTGCGCAATGATCTACTTAGTGGCAATATGTTAAACATGTCTTGATATATATGTGAACAGACGTTATTGCAATCATCGTAAAATAAATGTTCTGTAACAGATAAAACATTAGCAAATGACTTAAAATGTACTTTTGTCTCATTGTAAAATGATCAATCGTTTCATAAGACACTGGAAATACTTTATCGATTCACATGTGCATACAAAGTAGACAATATATGATAATATATTCAAAAATATAACCTTAAAAGGTATGCCTTAATTTGCTGTGACTGTATCAAATATCAAAACTGTATTAAAACAGACTCGTTATAATTATTCTAAAAACTGACTAAAGCCACTCATTAGAATTGAATGATGCCTTTAATTTCCCTGTAACATTTTTGTTTATTTTAATAGTTTAAACATATTTTATTGCATCAATTACATGTCAGCTATTATACAAATGATGAGTTTATAACAAAAAGCAAAAGGGTTTGGCAACAAGTTCTAGCAACATTAGATTAAGTCCTTCCAAGGTTAATTTTATAAGTTTACTTAGATAATATCATAAATGTAATTTATTAATACGTTTTCTCTGAACATTCTCAACTTTAAATTGAACCTGGTTGCGCCATGCATCAAAATATGGAATAGTTTTCTTCTCACACAAACATTACCTTATAATTATTTTTAAGTACGCGAACTGCATTATCATGAAGGACTCGAAATGTATACATTTTATAATAAACTAGAACTTGTTTGGCAAATATCTATTTATGAGTGGTCGCCCCATTAAATCGCATTTATAATTCCTTTATTTAATTTTATTTAACAACAAACTTTTAACTTGGCTCAAAAGATATTACATAAAATAACGATTAAGATCCTCTTGCAATAAAGGAATAATAATTAGAAGTTTTGTCAAAGATATTTGTACGGTAAAAGTAAATATATATTCAGTATATAGGGTATTATATGGGATAAAGGGACCGGCAGAGCAACCTTTCTTTCTACATACAGTTTAATTATGTACTATTTAGTACATTATTTGCCATTAATTCATTTGGAAGAATTTATGGAATTGACTAGAAGTTGTTTCAGTCATCAGCTGTGAGTTTGTAAGGCAGGTCAGAGCCAACTTTTATATTTTCCGTTATACCAATGAACCGAACCTACTGGTCAATTTAATATCAGCGGATAACATACAAAAACGTTGAATATTTTTTAATTCAAACATTCTTATATTCGGACTTCGAATGTAATGCTGAGAAAACTTCAAATGGCTCCAACCTTGTAATGAAAACCCAGTATAAAATCTTTAAATATATTTTTGTTTAATGAATATTATAAATATCTTTGTGTTAATTGTGTTTAATTGTGTTATTTTATAATAACGATAGCAAAGTTTGTGATATCTGATGAAATAAAATTTAAAATGGAGGCACCATCTGTTGGTTGTCATCACGATTTTTTTACAATATTTATTTTACAAATGTTTACATATGTAATTGAAAACAAATCTCTGACCCTTCCTGGCACACGATTTCAACATTTTTACAGCTTTGAGTAGATAAGAAACCATAAAAACTGTTTTTTAAAGTATTTTTTCAATCAATATACCAGCTATTTTCTGGTGGTGAAACATTGTATCACATTGTGATTGTGGTTATGATCAAAGATTGTAAATCACTGACTGAACCAACCGGTACTAGAGCTACTGACACCATTATCATATCAGTGTTTGTTCAAGCAAAGTCATTACTTATAACTGGATTAGTCATAAGTTAATGTTGCAAATTGGCATCCCGGAGAACGTCACCAGATTAAAGCAAATTGGCTCATAATCTTTCAATTTATCAAATTTTTGAAAATAAAGGCGTGAGAAAAAATCCGGTGATTTGTAACAGTACAAATGTATCATAAATTATAAGTACTGCATTCCTGTGTAATATACACAATAAAATGTAACATAATTTTCACAAGCATATTTCATTTAAAACACATAAAACTCATTCTTAGTTCTACGACGATTAAATCATTTTTAAAACTCAATTCTTCCGTAAAATGTGTTTTATTTACAACTAAAACTTCTGATGGAAGCAAAGAATGTAAATGATGGCTTAATAATGGAGAAAACATTTCAATTACACTGATATTTACGGGTGATAACTCATGAATTGATATACCTTGCCAGTTCAAACACTTTTAAATGAAAGCAATAAAAGTTTCAAAAGGCGATAAATTGGTCTAATTGTTACACTGTAAAGTAGCAACTATCATTCTCAAATTTTACTTTATGAAAGAACAATCAAAGACAACGTACAAAGACGTTTCAAACAAAATAAATTTCTTCTGAATAGAAAGACAAAGAAATAAAATGAGGTCTTTAATGCATAAAAAGGCAGATATTTGTACTTAGTAGTATTTTAAGATAATAGCTGGACGGTGTGTAATAACAATTGAAATCATTTTACTGATCAATATAAATGAGAACTATCAATATAAATTAAGAGATGACTGATAAAGAGCCGGCTTAGGACAATTTCCTTTGAAGTATTTAACAACAGTCACCTTTGTCACTCCCAAGAAAATAAATAATCAAATGAAGAAAATATTTTCAAAATCATATTGAGGGTTTTAAAATATAAACAGTATATACCATAAAAGTGCAGTTATGATTATAGTAAGTAATGCGCAGAAATTTTTTGTTTCTAATACACGTTGTGCTTTTTTAATATACATAATTTGTGAAAATGTGCTAACAACTTAAGAGGAATGTATACTTTTTCATACATTATTCCTAAAATAAGGCGGATATGTAGAATGGTCAGGTAGAAATATATTTAACAACCTTACATCAAGTCATAATAGCAAATGACCATTGTGTAAAGTGAGGCAAGGAAGGCAGAATATGTGATATAATTCTAATCTTAATTTAGCAAGCATTTTTCTCAACACGATATTATAATATCATAGAATAAATCATGTGTTATGTCTGAAAGTTGTTCATCGTAAAATTACCTGCTCAGGATTGATAAATAAACAGCCGATTTACCTCTTTAAGAATTAAGTATATTCATCTTATTACAGCTAAGCTTATTTGTATAATATTTTATGACACTCATTTACGTGTTACGTCGGGAAAAATATAACGAAACAGTAAAAAAATGGAAAGTAGTATCTATTAGTAGTGCGGTTTTATCAACTTTATACAGCACGGATGAGTTTATCGTATTCATTTAACCTCTTAAATTGAGTATGAAAGAGCTGCTTACAACAGTCATTTCAGTTTACAGTTGAAGAAATGCGTGAATGCAAGCAATTATACGGTTATGTGCTTAAGTTTTCAAAATGGCCGTAACCATTTAAGACTTGCTTTAAATATTTAAAACCTTTAATTGCTCAATAGGTTTTATGTATTTCAGATCGTGCTGTGATAGTAAGCGTATAGGCGTCATTAAGGTGACATAAATCAAAGCATGCCGCACACAGGTGAGTAAAGTTGAAAGCACAAATATTGTTTTATGAGTTAATCTCATGTTTAATAAAGAAGTAATCTTGCAATGTCATAGTTAAGCGTAATATAAGGCGGAAATATCGCCCAATTTACCAAAATTAATTGTATTTTGTCATTTTGGATATTCAATATCGGATAATAGCGTCAACAGTCTTATATTTGTTTGATAGAATGGGTTTCTTTTACTTTCAAAAGTTCTCGAGTGTTGAAACGCCGGAATAATTTTAACTTAAAGCTTTTTAACTGAATGTTTAGGCATATAAGTTTGTATTCAATTGACATTTGTCCCATAATTATATATATTTAATCTCAGAAAATAATTTCCCGAAAAAGGTAACGCATTATTTTCGTGGATGGCATTTATATGTGGACACGTGATGAGCGTTGGCGTGATTTTAAAACCGACTTAAGGCATCTGTAATAACAATGTTGTTATCAATGTTGTTATATTTCATGGTCCTTCAGGATCATTGATTCCAGCACATTTCAACAATGAAAATTGAATACCTCTTAAGCCGGTGCTAGGGTGTGTGAGAGATGTTGCAATTTTCCAGTATCCCTCATGAATAGATCCAATCAAAAACGAGTCTGCAATTTTTATGTAATTTGTTTTCATTGCCATCCTTTTCAGTTGTTTTTATTAATTTGTCAGTGTGAACGTGCGCGTCTTGTAAAACAGATAATTTAGGATATTTACTAAATGAGTTCTCAGAGTGAATAGTAGAATGATATATTGTTGTTTTTACTAAATCCAAATGTGGCATATGTAATTTTCTTTGCTTTATTCATACATTTATCAATCAATTGTTTAATATAATTATTTTTTAATTCAGGTTATATCCATGGAATTATTCTTTAAGAGTATTTGTACATGTTTGTTAGAATGTCTATTGCTTTTTGAAACTAAATTAAGGTCAAAAAAATTGTTTTGGTGTTACCTGTGTTTAAGTAAGCTATCAAAAAATACATTTGTTACGGACATAGTCATTTGTCACGGGCATTAACATTTTAAATTTAGTTTTTTTTTAATGTGACACTTGCGATAAGAAATGTTTTATATGTTTATCTCATAAGAAATGGCGTATCATGGCACGTGATGATACTGAATTAAATGATACCCATTTATTGTTAAATTATTGCTAATATTAAATGTCAAAGATTTGATCGTTTTATATTATTATAACAATAAAAACTGAAGCTGTTTTTATTACAATCTAGGATTTATGTCGTCTTGAGATATTGCAGTACATTTATTGTTATTTTCTCTATTTTTTCTTTAAAAAATGTTTAATTTAAATAACTTTCAGTTAAATGCAAGAGTAAAAATATTCATGTTAAATAAATAAATAAATAAATAAATAAAAACGTTTTAATGTTTATATAAAATTACCATTTATATGAATGTGAACAATTTAGTTTTTTTATTGAAAATGCCGAGAATTAGAGAAATTAGAAAATACAAATACAATTGTTTATTAAAATTGTTAAATAAAATTGTTAAAAGACCACAATTTTGATTTGATTTTGAGAATGTATACACAATACAAACCTGTGTCCGCTTATAAAGGTGTGTTTATCCAGATGTTTCTTCTTCGTCAACTATGTTACATTTCTGTAAAAGTCGTCGACAAAATTAATATTTGGAATAAAAATTATGCATGATAGGCATTAAATTTTGTAAAAGAAGAGGGCGTGTCGTGTTTACATGTACACGTTTTCAGATATTTGCGTGTTAATATTAAATTTTTAATATAAAAATATTAAAAAAGAAAATACTTTGGAATATAATTGAGCAGATTATTTTCGGCAAGATACAGTGGTTTTCTATGAAACGGCTCCTACATATTTACATATTTATATGAACAGTGAAATCATACATCTAAATTTATACATATAAAAATGCATATATTTACCATTGCTTTTTATTATTTGAATTAAATGCATTCCATCAAAAACATTCCCCGTCTTTGAGTTAGTTTGTAACCGAAATAAAATATTTGCAACATTATGGGCTACCAATTTTCTAGTAAATCGTGTTTTTGTTTGTTAGTTTTACTGTTTGTCTGTGTGTGTTTGCTTGCTAAGACATTAATATTATATCATATATGCCCATGAAATATTTTGATGTTTGTAGTTGTGTATTTTTTAATTGAAATTGAAAGTCATAATTACAACTTTTGTTAATTAACAATTTGATCATAAAGCCCATTTTAAAGTCGGTATTTATTTTAGAAATTTATCAAATAGTTGAGGCATGCATGATGTAGACACTAAGAGTACGTGTCTGCCTTGTTTTTATTTCATATTTAAGAAACGACAGTAATGCGTGTCGATTAAATTAAGTTTGAAAGCTATGTCGCCAGAGTAGGTAAATTAACATAGCCTTTTTATACGGTTTAATCGAATCACAATTTATTAAGTTATTTTTCATACTAGCATATCCGTGAAAGAACCATAACAGTTTGCCTTGTTCACGCGTCTCAAGACGTTACAGACAAACCTTCGCCGATACAATAATCTTAATTGTATGTGATCACGGCTTGATAGTGCCGGATCCCGGACGATAGTACCGTCCCGTGTGACACGGAGGTTATATTAATATCAAAATTAATATTTCAACTTCTAAGATACAGGATCACTAAAATTTCTTTTAACATGCAAAGTCATTCCTGATCGTCACTGTTTTATTATTGAAAATCGATTTCAAATATTTTATCTGCCCATCTCCTCTATCGATGTCCAATTTAGAGTAGAAAAAGTCAGACCCCTAATGCATCAGCGTCGGATGCTGGGACGATATAGCCATTTAAAGGATTAAAGCATATGTGCTCAGTTCATGCCGGAGGTCATAATTTAGAGAAATGCAGTCAAGAAGATTTTATGATGCCAACTATTGCGTCATTGATTTCACGGAAAAACTTGAATTCTGTAATTACAGTAATACAATAATGTAATATTGATAACATATTTCTAACTGATATGAACATTAGAACAGATTTTCGTGTAAAAACAATTGCTCAATTTAGTGATTATTATTGTTGTGCAAATTGAAACATAATAAATGCCTTTCTAATCATTTTCTATTAGTTCGAAAGCTAAAATAATCAATGAAAAGGTTTGCATGTGAGGTAATGAAACCATTGCAATTCACGCAATGTGCGTGTTTTTTAACACATCGTGCTTTAGAAAAAAAGGAAACAAAAAGAGAAACACAACAGCTTTACAAAAAAATCTCATTATGATTAGGTTTGTAAAAAAAGTGTACATTTGAAAGATTTTTTGAAAATAGGGGCGTTACTTTAATAGCCACTGTCAATGCCGACTTTTTTTTTTTTGTAAAAATCTTTAAAATTTCACTAACTGATACAATGCAGAAAAGAAATGGTATCTAATTTGGCCCATCTGATACCAAATCCATTTACCTGTCCAAATAGTAAAACAAGTCATGGAGCCAATAACGTAATACGTATAATGAAACATTGTATATCTTAGATAAATAAGAAATAACAATAAATGTATAAAGTAAGCTTGTCAAATCTTCACTTTTACCGATGAGATCCCTATAACGCCATTACAATATTCTTTCGGCAATTATTTCACTGATGATTTATATAAAAAAAAGCTTTTCTTCAGAAAAAAGAACAGAAATAATTCATTTTTCTCATTATTTATTCCCGTACAAAGGTAACGACCCAAGCCCGATTGTATTGTTGATTTTTAAATGTCCAAAATACGAATTTAAGATAACATTAATCACGTAAAAAATAAAAAAGGGTTCACAGTTCATTAACCCACGCATGTCACCTTCAACGGGAAACCTTTATTCTTGATAGTAAAGGCGCATGCCTAAGCAGGCTGTGACATAATCGGCCATTTCTTTCTTTGGCTATACCTTTTTCAGGAACACGTGACCTACGTTATGCTGAAGTCGTTCGATTTTAATGAAATAGCAATTTAACCTGCATTTGACCAATAAATTTGATACTTTCCGGCAACCTGATGATTATTGCCCTGATACATATATATTATCTAATTATTACGATAATATGCTTTCAAAGTGACAAAACAAAAATAGAATATCTTCAATATTTGTATGAAAAATATGAGTGTAAAGCGTCATGCGTGTGCCAAAATTGATGATATCAGATAAAAAATAATTAATTTTCTATCAAACAATGATGTTGGAGTTTGAGATGGTTTATAATGTGTCAAGTGTAACATCAGTTGAACAATTCCGTACAGGAGAGATAATGATTTTCTTCTTCTTCAAATTATTTTAAGGTCAAACTGGCGTAAACCAACTTGGAGGGGTATTTGTCAATGGCCGGCCTTTACCGGATCACGTGAGACGGAGGATTGTAGAGTTAGCTCATATGGGCGTTAGACCCTGCGATATTTCCCGCCAACTGCTAGTTTCACATGGTTGTGTGAGCAAGATTTTGACTCGTTATTATGAGACCGGATCCATTAAACCAGGCTCCATTGGCGGAAATAAACCAAAGGTAAAACCACCATAGTATTGTATGCCTCATTAGTATTTCATACCCGTTTTGAAGATGCTTTAAAATAGAATTTCAATGAATTTCAGAAGTCTGCGAGATTATTAACATTTTCTGCCTTTCTTTTGAAATTTCGCTATTTTATTAGTATTTGATGATTTATTGCAGCAAGTTGCCACGCCCCTCGTCGTTCGAAAGATTCTGCAACTGAAGAAAGAAAACCCGTCTATATTTGCGTGGGAGATTCGAGATTATCTTCTGTCTCAAAGAATTTGTGATGATCAATCTATTCCCAGCATAAGTTCTATAAATAGAATACTTCGCAATGCCGGTGCTTTCAACAGTGACGGTGTCTTGTCAAACGAAATGTCTCCAGTATTTTATCCTCCTATACCATCACCCACATTACAGGCTTTATATCAAAGACATAACCCTGCAGCACTTTACCCTTTAAGCATCCCAGGGCTCTCATATCCACGCCTTGTTCAACCTTTGCCAGCGCTTCTGGAGCCCGGAGAGGTTCCGAACGATAAATCTTTACCAGAACATTCAGTTAAAGGCATTGAATCTACCCGTGATATAAATGACAGAAAAAGACAATTATCTGAAGACGAAAAGAGCACATCAGCCGAAAGCAAAAGATTAAGATGTGACAGTTTGAATTACAGTGGCAGGACGGACGATAAACAAAACGGAGAAATAACAAAAGGTATCGTTTTATTTCAATATTTACTGTCGATTACAGTAATTGCTTGTAAATTATTGATGAAATAAAGAAGATTTTGTTGGGCATGAATCATTTATTGGATGTTTAACGTCCATGTTTTGTCCTGATAATAAATAGGCGGACAGTAGCTAATACTTCAATTATTGAGTACAGGGTCGTAGTAATTGAAAAGAGAGGAAATTGGAGAGGGGTAATTCCAGCTGTTTACGGCGATGGGAATTTTAAGACTGTTGTATACAGTCATCATTGTATCTAATACCAGTTCGTGTCTTCCCGGTGTTTTAAATATGTTCATCTTCCATGGGAACGCCATCTTATAAATAAAGACAAAAAATGGAAAAGGAAACCTGTTACGAAATGTTACCTCTTCACCTTTATAAACTATCGTAGAAAAAAGATACCCTGGAATAATATTCTGTTTGAAATGTAAACCTTACATTTTTCTTCATTTTTTATAATGGTCTTTATTGTTAGTTGTATGCTTTGCAGTCAATCTTTAAAGTGCAAGTGTTAAGGTACATGTATACAAAAAACACACATCAAAATGATAGATAAATGTTTTGTCTGTAGGTATTGTCTGCTTAAAAAGTCATAAATTACAACGAAAACTACAACACCCAATCTATAGCTTTTTAGTTGAAATAAAATCAATGTAAATAAGAACATTTAACAATACATTTAGAAATCATATGCAATATATTTTAGAGATTGTAATCTTTATATGCTGTGTCGGGTTAAATATAAGCATTTAAGCAATAAATAAAAATTACGAAAATTAGCGAAAACTAGAAACTAATTTTCATGCCGCGTCATGCTCTGGAAAAATAGTATACCGTCGCGGTGTTTCTTTTAAATTTGTTAAATAAGTGTATAAAATTATCTACCTGTCTGATTCAAACGAAACATTGAGTCATTAAGATTAAATACTTAAACCACAAAATTCACATCATTTTTGCTATATATTATCAAATGATCGGTGTAAATTATTAGTTCGTCTTTGTGTAAGTTACCCAGCGTTGTACGAGTTTTTTTTTAAGTAAACAACCATAAGTATATAAATTATAATAAGTTTTTACTTAAATGTAATTATTCTCTCATTAGCAGTAGAAAAATCAATCTTTTAACGTGTGTCATTATATTATGATAGCAGCATTAACATTAAGTCATAAATTGCATGTAAAGTAACCACACATTTGGTATGAAACAAATTAAAGCAACAGAAATTACACGCTGCTTATTCAAAGTGCATTCAATCAAATTACATGATACTTTAAAACTAGATGTTAATGCTTTTTGGAGTCAAATAATACACACTCATCATTGGGCTTGGCGAAACCAATTTATTACAATATGTTTTCATACATATAAACAATGTTACGTAAGTTTGTATTCTGTAAAAATATTATGTAAAATAAACACAATGAAATACATACATTTCCTCTTTCAGCAATACTTATAAAACTAATATAGAGCAGAAACCATCATTTTTTTGCAATTACCAAATCGGCATTCAATGACCATACCATTACGTAATTTAGTTATTAATTAACTCTTATAAGTCTAAATAACGCTATTGTTTTCCCTTTTGTTTCCCTTGCGATATTAGTGATTTTAATTAATTGCAATATGCTTAACAGTGACAAATGGGGCGAAACGATGAGCTATAGGCGCTATTGGGCGTTACGGACTTACAGGCCAATTAGATCTTTACGGACTTACAGACCCTTTAGGTCTTTGCGGACATACAAGCCCATAAGGTCTATACGGAAATACAGACCCATGCATTATGTCAATATGGACTTACATGCCCATTACGTCTTTACGGACTTACATACCAATTAAGTCTTTATGAACTTACAGGTCCATTATGTTTTTACTGACTTGCAGCCCAATAAGGTCTTTACGGACTTACAGGTTCCATCAGATCTTTATGGACTTACAGGTCCATTAGGTATTTACTGACTTACAGGCCCATAAGATCTTTACGGACTTCCAGACCAATTAGGTCTTTACGGACTGAGAGGCCCATTATGTCTTTCCACTGGAGCTTCAAGAAGACTTAAAAGCCTATTGGTGTTTTACAATAACTTACATATTTTACGGAATAACATGAAATCACACAATTTATTTATATGCAGTCTAAAAAAGTAATTCAACCAATAATGACTTCTCATTTTCCTTTTTGATCAGTAAACACTTCAATACGTGCACTCTTTAATAGCTTCACAAACATTGAAAAGTATTTCAGATTAGAGCAAAAAAAAACTTTCTTATACAGGTGGTTTACAAAAACTGATAATTGTCACAAATGCCATCATTAAATGTTGAGCGCGTCATAAATATCACACAAAATAGATACACAGGTATTAATCCACTAAATTCTCTCTCTAACCCCGTAATGTCCTGTACATATCATATTACCGTCAATACGGCATTTATCGTATGGCATAAAACGTGAAATGCGCAATAAAACGTTATTCGGCTTATCCTAGGTAATAGTTAACTATGGATTGCTTGCTATTTAGTGGGTATTTAGTGATGTTTGAGCGTTTAATCAAACGGCAGGAAGAATGGCACCTGTTTATTAATGTTATAAGATATGGGTGAATGTGTGACACATTGACGAGTTATTTCTACACATTCACATCAATGTTGCAGAGACTGGTGAATGAATTCCCAGAGAGTGTGACAACCATATTAATATTTGATTATTTCATTAAAACCGTTATTTCTAATACATTTAATGCCCGATTATCGGTTAATTTACGATAGCCCCTTTGACGACCTGACAACTGCAAATGTTATAGGCTGTTTTTGTTTCCCCTGCCCGCGGAGGGAAAATGTGATAAATCGATGGTCATATAAGTGAAAAGATTCCAAGAATGATTAACAGGAATTGGACAGACATTGTAATCTGTGCTTTACCATAAACGTAGATACTTGTCTTGCCGAAGCTTTGATAAGTGAATCATAACAAATGAAAACCATTATTGACACCCACCCCTTAACATTATGTGTTTTTCTCTTTAGCATGATCTGAATTTAAGAATGCTTATCTATAAGACAAAAGGTCCCGATCGTTATGGTTAGTTGAAAAAGCTATCACTTTAATGATTTATTAATTTGCATGAAATTTTACCCGAGAGTCAGATCATCCATAAAAGCACAACAAAAATTCTTATTAAAATGTACTGATATAATATTGAGTTGTATGTCTACGTATTTTTTTAATGAAATTATTCATTGTTAGAATTTTGTTAAATTAAAACCTTTCATTTCCACCCATTGCTAGAAAATCAGCGTTTTTTTAAATTAATCGTATATATACCTTTAATGACCACATGATTTTTGGAATTATTTGTAGATTGGCTACATACAAGAACATTGTTTGTGTGTTTTTTATAATGTTTCACACGTGTATCAATCGTGATCACGGATGAGTACATTTCGCCATTAGTATGGTCATGGAATAATGTATAAAAAAAGGGGTCTTTGTACTGTAATTGTCTGTAGCGTACAGTCCGTCTTTTCTTGTACTTTATGAGGCATCAAATGATAGCCAACGACTAAACTGTTGGGTAATTAAGGTTAGCTCTATTGCAAATAATTCTTTTAGATTTAATCTTTGATAAAAGATCATGAGATGAGATCAGGAGAGATGAGAAACATAAAAAAAATATTACAGCGTGCTTTTAGGAGCACAAATAACATATAAGACGGTATAATGTAAACTTTTTTTTTATCTTTTCTTTCATCTGAGATTTTGACAATTGTCATTTTATCGCCAATTAAAACACACATTTGGTGAAATAATTGGAAAAAATACGAGCGCCCGCAACTGTTCGTTTAAAATATTCATGAAGTCTTCGTCTTGGGTTCACAAGCGAGATGCGCACGCGCAACGGCATGTGTGGCCGATTTTCAATGAGATACGTTGCATGCTACGCGCAAATCAACGCTTATAATTGATAATTTATCCATCTGTAAAAAAAGTACAACTGCATACAAAATCATGAACACTTTCTACATTCATTTTTATGATTTTAACATGTAAGTACGGTGACAGTCGTATACAGTAAGTTACTAAAATAAATTTTACTTTTTTTTCAGGTGAGGAAAAAGAACAACAAAATAATTTATCCAAGTGTCAGCCGAACGACCGTGGGAAGCCTATTGCAACAAGACCATTACATTCGATAGAAGACATTGTCCGAGATAATGATGGTGACAAAAAGTTGATTCACAACCGTTCGACATTTGACACTTTAACTTCAGACATGTCTAAAAGTGCATTCCAATTTCACAATTCTCGTGCTTTTCATAGTCTCGAATTATGGAAGCATCATCAAATGTTCTTTCCAAATATGTACAATATTCCTGTTTCACCCAGCTATGACCACGTGACGTCCAGACAGGCATCATCAACGCTGGCATTACGTTGTCATAACGACACACGGTTCTGTTCTACTTGATTAAGATAAATTTATTTCTAAATATCAAAACAATTTTATTTGATGTTCCTAATGGCAGAAAATGTAAATGGCGCCTCGGTTGCTATGACAACTATTGCTTGTAGCGAGGTAGAAAGTTGCGTGACTTGAGTATATTGTCTTTAATTGTTAACCTCCCTAATGAATGACCTATCTCCGTGACTTTTTAGCAAAGCTTTACGCTTGGTCGCAGTGTTTTGATACTTCTTAATATAAAGAGGTTTTCTATGTCTTCGCCGCTACAATTAACCTTAATTAGCGCTAACCTTTTCAGATTCCAATGAAACTAATGGGTCATGAAATGTGTTTATTTTTTCCGATTTCATTAGAGCAGGAAATCATTATTCCGATGCGAAGAAGAAGGAAACTCATTATGGTTACTTTGCATTGCTTTTATTCAGTTTCAGATTTTGTCATTAGAAGAAATGATAAATAATCAAAGGTATCCATTTCTTTTATTTTGATTACCGACAAGCGCACCTTATTTGTATGTTCAGACGATTTTACTCTTAATTATGCGTTATCAGTTTACTTTTGTTCTTTTATTTTTCTTTGACTTCATTAAAGATATATGAAAATTGGTTGTTGCTCATTTACTTATTTATGTGAATTAACATTCGTTGTAAAAATTAACTAACATGTGTTTAAAGATGTGTCACTGTAAAGAGGAATACAGTGAAATAATATGCCGAGACTCATTTTGGATATAAAACAATGGAAGAAATATTGTTCCCGAAACTCCAATTCAATATTTTTCACACTGAACATATATTTGTGTATGGTAAAGGATTTGTGATGAATGAAAAATAATAAAGGTTCATGTAATTAATAAAGATATTTTGCAATTAACACTAAATTGGAACATTAACAGCAGAGTGACCAATAACTAGTATGTAGTCATATGTTAAGTCTACAGTAAATACAGTAAAAATTAAACTTTCCTCATAAAATAATAACAAAAATAGATCATTGGTAAAAAAAACAAACAAAAAAAAACCAATATTGCATTGCTTGACGATGTAAATTACAAATGAACAAAACGTAAAATAATAAAAGTAAATATAGTTGTTAATTCATCAAAACTGCTAGCATAAAAGCATTAGAAAGTACGGGTAATAAAGCAAATTTCCAGTCTCAGTTTAAAAGTTTTCTCGGACATCACACCTAAACCCACCAGATACGAGTTTTCTCTCCAACGTCCAATACCTCGCCTCGCGTCTGGTTTTATGCCACTATTTTGAACTAGCATTACTGGTGTTAGGAGACGTAAGAATTTAAATTTCAAAAATCTATAATAAATAAGAAAGCCAAGATTCTGTGTGAAAATAAATTGTAGTGATCTCTAAATATCAGGAGTAAGTATAAAACTATATAAGGAAACAGCAAACTTTACTCATTAAATATTAAACACAGTAAGGACCATGCCAATGATTATATAAAAAATTCAGACAGAAAATTCAATCTTGTAATGGAAAAGACAACACTGAAATGTGAAGTAAATCTCTTTAGTGATAAAGATGATAAGAGTAAAATGTATGTAACATTTTTTAAAGAGGAGATAAGTCCTGAAACAAAGATGCTATTAGAGTTATGAATCTTGTCACATATGATACACACACGACGACCTCGGAATTCTCCATATATTACGTTAGTCGGACTAAAATGCAATTGAAACCTTAGCTTATTGTTTGTTTGTCTATTGTTTGTTTATCTGGTAATTAAATTTTTGGTTATATCTTGCCGGTTGAATCACTTAACTATATTCGGAAACTATGCAGTAGCTACCAATTTCTCTACACGTGACCCAATACTAATTCCACGTGATTTTTAATTAGCGGTTAGAAACAAATGCACACTTTAGGTCCTTATGATATTATAAAAGATATACACTCAGAGGCACTTATAACCTTTCTGTGTAAACAGATTATTTGAAAACGGATTTTGTTCAAATTTTGACAATAAAAAATTCAACATATCTCACTTACTACTTATAATTATATTTACAATTCATCGATCAGAAAATAGAAAAAATAACAAAACAATTATGCTACTGTAAAATGAAAAATCACAGAAAGACTGTAAAATCGTGACAAAATAAACAGTCTCTGAATCCCACTAAATATGTTTTTTAACAAGTTCTAACACTTTTTATGTTCTCCCAATTGGTTATAACAGCGTAAACACCTCTGCCTCATAGTTCTCTATTCCTAAACAGGGGCTTGCTCAAGTTCCTGCAAATTGCGAGAGGCTTCTGGTTGCTTTCTCACACGCCTGTTCAATTCAGCCGACAAGTATGATGTTTAGATCTGGTGACTTGTGATGCAGGAATTGCTTGAACTCGAGGAAGCCTTTATTCCCTGCGGTCTGGAGACCGCAGGGTATTGGTACGCGTTTAACTTTTGAGGCATGGAGGAGCACGTGACCTGTTTTCGGTACATGGAGGAGCATGTGATCTGTAAACCGTATATGATTGGTTAATTGACCTTTTCGAAAACCCAGCTAAATACCGTTTGCCGGTACGTTACGGATTTACCTGTAGGGAATTAGTCCGAATTATACCTAATTGAGAACAAAAAACTATTACGTGATATTTCTAATTTTCTATAATTATTTTACCGTTTAAGGTGGAAAAACTTGAATGATGTGTTTGAAAATTATCAATGTTTCTTTAATATCTATCTCAAATTTTACAAACAATAAATTGTTTATACTGAAAATCTACAAAATTAAAACATTCGAGATAGAGATATTTTCTGCGTAAACTTGTGTGTTTACTTTATTTATTTTTTTGCTCGGAATTATTCATAAAATGGTCGGCCTATGTTATCATTTTCTTAAAGCTGCATGTCTCCAGATGAGTCAAAATATTTCAATAAAATCAAACTTGAGAAATAAGTACTACGATTTTGGGAAAAGTAATATGATTCAAGATTCAAGTAATATTTTACATGTTATGTGCGGTTAATGACTGATTTTTGAATATTTACAACTATATTTCTACTGCGTAACTAACGCAGTAAGGGCTATTTATGCATATTTTGACAACTTTTTGGTAATTTACGTTAGTAATAAGTTTCATTGATAATGTGCAAATTGCTTCATTTTGGTTATTTTATTATACATTCAAATACATTTTCAAAATTTTCATGAAAATTAGCGTGAATCTGGAGGCTGCTTTAAAAAGAAATAATTGTTTTATGTTCGACCTTCTCCGGTCTTCAACGGTCTTCAACGGTCACCAGTTTCCAAAGACCTTCTTCTATATTGATCGATTTTTGTCAACTATATTCCTGATACAAACGTTTTACCCCCCCCCCCCCTCTCCCCTAATAATGTTGAAAATAGTTAAATGAAATATCTTTATATCATTAAAATGTTCACCGCAGGAAACTATTTTACTTGTTCATGAATGGAAAAATATTCCCCAAGCCTTCATGAGAAAATATGTTAATACCATGAGACAGGTGCTTATACATGTACTTTGTTATAGCCATGGGAGGGCACACAAAGTATTAGAACTGGTTAACATACAGATTTAGTGGGATTCAGAGACTTTTCATTTTGTTACCATATTTACAGCCATTCTGTGACTTTTTATTTTGCAGTAGCATAAATGTTTTGTTATTTTCTCTATATTCTTGTCAATGAATTGTAAATGAAACATAAGAAATAAGTATGATATGTTGAATTTTGTATGTTAAAAACTTGAACAAAATTCGTTCACAAATAACCAATTTATACCAAAAACAACAGACTGACAACAGAAAGATGTTGTAGACAAGGTAAGCAATTGTATACATTTATTAATAAAGAATTTAAAGGACAATGTGTAATGTGTAATGTAAGCTGAGGTAGTTGAATAACTCCCTAAAACAATAATAAATCGCAAGTATATGTATAATGATACTTCCTTTAGTGGGTTACATTTAAAAAATGAAATGCAATCAAAATAGCACCTCCATTTCAGTCGTAAATTAACAATACTAAAACTGAATAGCTGAATTAAAGCTAACATGACATTTTTATTGTTCTTGTTTCTTCCATTAAATATTTTAGATTTAAAATGAACACGCGACTTAAATTTTCACTAGTATGATAATAAAACAACCGTAAAAGATTATGAAAATGCATTCTAAAATTTGTATTGTAATTTGTAGGAGAGTTTATAGTTGGTTCCATTTTATATAAACATGTTCTGGTGTTATTATTTCCCATTAGTTTTGCTGAATTGTTTCCGTGCGAAATACACAATATTTCAAAACAGACTTTCTCACCTATCTTTTTTCCTCTGTTAAGGTTTTGGATGCCCAATGCAGTGAGGAAACAGAGTTTTGATAGGACGTGGGTTAAAACCACAGAAAAGGCAATTTTTTCTTCAATTTTTGTCCATTATTTTATGTTTTTTTGTTTGGCCAGAATTTGTTTCTTATTTTTTAAATAAAAACTGAAATTAATAAAAAAAAATTAAAGTTTTATGCATAATTTTTATTGTGAATTGTGTCAAATTGGAAAGTGTAACAACCTAAAATGATTATAGATCTAATTTGAAATCGGCACGAAATTTTTTTTATATTTTTCACAAATGTTTAGATGTGTATCAAGATAATTATTATTAAATGATATTTTGATGCCCCCTATTTTATATGACAAAATCTAACATGTTTTCTTACCCCACCCTCTTCTTATTTGATGTAAAATAACAAGTACCTTTCTCAATAAACCAAACAAATCTTATCATAGACATTAGCCATTGGTTTTATTTGTAGTTATTAAAAAAAACTATTGCTCTTTATCAGTACTTTGCAACTAAAAAATATTTCTTCAGATAATGAAAAAAATATTCTTCGTTGTTGTTGTATAAAAATGATACAAAAGCTATACTTCAATTATTGTTAATATTTCTCAAACAAGATGGTACACTTTTGTATTTTTTTGTATTTATCTCCATAATATAGTACAGTTTATTAATATAAAGTTTTAAATGCCTTTTGAAAAAGTGTTTATTATCATACATCTAATACCTTAAACTTACTCTCTGTTTAGCTGAACAGACATTGCATGGTCTTGAAACATGTCCTTTATTGTGTGCAATACATTTTGTTCATATCTTGTCCCAGACGACATTATCACACTTCAGCCATGCCATTTACTTGTATACTGGCTTTCATACCCGTTAAATGAAATGGGGGCTAATAAAATAAAAAGCTTCTCAAAGAAAGCAATTTTTTCCTTCAAAATTTTGTTTTTGGGAAAAAGGGGAAACGGTTTTTTAGCTCAAGAATAGAAAATTTTTAAAGATTTAAAGGGTTTTTGGGCCCTTTTTTACCCAACCCGTAAAATTCCCGGGCCTTTAAACAAAAAAATTAAAAAAGCCCTAAAAGACCCTTTGTGAACGTAAAACTTATTTGGCAGTCTTTCCACGGGCCATAACACTCACTCCTTAACGTCCTAAAAGGAACGGGTTACCTCAACCCGACCAAAAACTAAACATAATGTGTGTATCCCTCTTGGGGACCACCTACTTATAAAAAACAAAAATTTCTTTGGTAGGAGTAAATAACCCCAAAGAAACCCA